AGTGCTGTGACATCTCCAAATGAAAATATTGAAAATATTCAGGGCATACTATTTTTTTTTATAAATAGTGTGATAAGAGAAAAGTGTGGTTTTCAAGATGACGTTGTGACCAGGATTAAGAAAGAAATGCTTCGGTGGTTTGTTCATGTAGAAAGAATGAACGAGGAAAGAGTGACAAAGCAAACTTATGTAGCAGAAGTGAACGGCAAGGTAGAGAAGGGACGCCCTAGACGAAGGTTTATCGACCAAATCGGCGATACATTAAAAATGGGCCAGATTAGAAGTACCCTTAACCGACAAGCGTGTATGTGTAGATATATGGATGTAAAGGAGGCGAGGGAGGTGTGTCAGGATTGCGCCAAATGGAAGTCCATAGACTCTGCCTACCCCTCTGGGTGACAGGCGTGAGTATTTGTGTGTGTATTCAAGGCATTGTCAGAAGAAAACATGACACGTTAAGAATTTAAGCAGTCATAACGCAACGAACGTAAGATTCTGGAATACAATAAAATTATTTTATGTATACAATAGAATTATTTTTCCATTTTAACAGTTTTCTCTTCCAAACAGATAAGAATTCAACTTCTGGCTGCATGGAATGTATGTGTAACGTAAGGTGCAAGGTGCACATTACGACAAAAATTACTAAAAAGGATACCTGCGGAGGAGGAACTTTATTTCGAAATCGTAGTTTAGTAGCTTTAAAAAATAAAATTATAATTTATTTCATTTCAATTTACTTACCTTTTATGGTTTAGTAACCTACCACTATAATTGTTACTTCAGCCTACAACAAGTCAACTGCTAAAAAAAGACCGTCTCCACAGATTGACACAGAACACATCCATACATAACCTAAGTGTTTAATAACCAACACTGAGCATTCCGGTACGACGCGGCCACACGAAATTTGTTCCTCCATCGGTTATTGGTTCTTACTCTGATCCGTTAGACTATTTTAGTTACTCTTCTCTCGTTCTCTTGTTCATCTACGAATTTTCTCGTTTACCGTGTAGTGGCGGTCTAAGTATATCTACTACCCCATATCATGCCGTGACCAGATAGGCAGCAGCATCTTCCTAGTAAAGAAAACACTGAGGTTGCCAACCCACTTGCTAAACGTGAGGACTACGGCATATATCTCCTCTATGAGAGTTACATGTACGTACCTACAACCGCCAATATATATATATAACATAAGAATTAAAATAAAATGTTTATTTATTGTTAAAAACTAGTTGTATAACTAATTATAGACTAATATAACTTGCATTACAATGTACGGTACATAATGGAATATAAAAATTGTATGAAACAAAGTTGACACATATAAGAATGAGATTCACGATGAATATACGATTTTCACAGGACTATATATACTAAAATATTTAATAAGTAAATTTGATATTAAGGCCACATTACAAAATATCACATTTCGGGCATGATTTTGAAGCGCGATAATTGATACTGCTTAAAAAAATATTTACTCGTAGAAAATATGCGTATACTCAATTGAATGGATTTTTAAAATACTTTTTCACGTTTGAGATAAAAAATATAATTTAATTACTGGGAAAAAGCTTTGACGTTCGCGTTCTCGTTTTTAAAAGCGATACATAACAATCAAATATGTTTCGTAAACATGAAAGGCATGTTATTGAATTACATTCTATTCGGCTTCATTTTTTTTGATGCTTTATTTCCTGATAATAAGCATACAGCTTTCAAATAAAGTAACGTTTTGTTCACCGAATGTCGCACGCTTACTATGTTCTCGACAGATATGCATGCAGCGTAAAAGGAGGAAAACCTCTTCTTAACTAATTTTAACTTGCACTCCCAAGAAGCAAAGTATCGGTTAATTTAAACTGAAAGATGGACATCACAATGATCCTATCCGTATTTTAATCACACTTATCTAAATTCAAGGGACTTCTAAATGACGTAAAATAGAAGTATACAACCGAATGAAATGTAAAAAACCATGTTTTATATCAAATAGCATAACACTAAGCAGAAATTCTAAAGAAATTCAGAAAATATATTTTGTTCGGATCACGTTTCAATAAAATGCTACAAAAATGCTCACAGAAAAAAGAACATGTGGCAGAGAAAGCGTATTGATGCGTAACCATGAAATATAATTCCGTGTAAATGCTATTGTTAAGTAAAAAAATTGTAGAACATGCAAGTGGCGTTGTAAGAATATCCATTACAAATGGCAAAGTGTGTAATGGCGTGCAAACCGAATTCGATCCCTGATACCACAAAGTCGGGAACAATCTTTATTTAGATATGATTTATAATGGACCGAATACCGGCCGGCCGGTAACCTCACAGAATACCGGCGTGAAGTAAAGGCGCTGCTTCTGCGTTTCGTCTGGTGAGTGCAGATGGCCAGAGGCCCAATTCCCCCCCCCCCCCCCCCCCATCAACATGGTAGCGGAATGACACGATAGACTACCACAGGAGGTTACCAGTACCCCTGGAGAATCCCTCGCTGAGCATCCACGACCATGTTATTCTAATCCTCAGCGTGGGTGCTCAGGCTGCCCCGCGTATTCTGGTGGGGAGGGGGGGGGGGGCAAAATTCCGCTCAAAAACATAACTGCTCGGGGCAAACTGAGCAACAATACCAAGGCGACCCCTGCCACACTATATACTATCCGTGAATTTCTGCAACATCAGGGGACTTCATTCTAACCTAAACGCCGTTCACTACCATCTCGAGACGGCGAAGCCGGCCTTGCTCTTTCTGACCGAGACGCAATTTTCCTCTCTGGCTGATATTTCGTATCTCTCCTTCCCGGGGTACAAATTGGAGCACTCCTTTGTGCCTCGGGCTGGATTTTGCGTGTATGCCAGAGAGAATATCTGTTCTCGACGCCTCGGCAGTCTTGAAGGTTCGGACCTGTCCATCCTTTTCCTACGTGTAGACAGCGACGACCATCCGCGCGTCTACGGGTGCCTCTATAGGTCCCATAGCGGTAATGCCGAAACAGACCGACTCATCGACCACGTCCAAATGGCTACATATTCCTTGCTACAACAGGTCCCATCTGCAGAGATCGTGATCCTTGGCGATTTTAACGCCCACCATGCCGAATGGCTCGGTTCACGTTTAACCGATCATGCGGGGAGATCTGTTTATAAAGTCATAAAGAGATCTCCCCGCATGATCAGCCTTGGCATATGGTCTGACACAACTAGTTACTTCGCCTACGCGGATTCCAGATGTGGAGGATCATACACCTTCCCTGTTGGACCTTCTGCTGACCTCTCATCCGGACGGATATCAGGTTTCCATCGATGCCCCTCTCGGCTCTTCGGACCATTGTCTGATCCGGAGTGTGGTGCCACTCACGCTCCCTTCGCGGTTGCGTTCTACAGGTTGCCGCCGTGTTTGGCATTACAGGTCGGCGAATTGGGACGGAATGCGGTCTTTCTTTGCATCCTACCCATGGGGACGAGTTTCCTTCTCGCTGGATGATCCCAGCGCTGTTGCTGACTCTGTCACTGATGTGGTGCTACAGCTTTTCTGCATATCAATGATATGTTGCTAACTGGTAACATTCATTGCTATGCGGATGACAGCACTGGTGATGCCTGCTCGTGGCGTGGCGTCAGCAGAGCGGGACATTACTTGCAACTTTACAAGGCGCAGGTTCGGCCTCACATGGAATACTGTTCCCATCTCTGGGCAGGGGCTCCCCAGTGCCAGCTCCTTCCACTTGACCGCATCCAGCGCAGAGCGGCTCAAATCGTCGAAGACCGAGCCCTTTCCGATCGGCTCGATTCATTGACACTGCGAAGAGATGTTAGATCCCTTTGCATTTTCTTTTCATCTACCATGGGGAGTGCTCTGAGGAATTTTTCGGATAAATCCCAGCCGCCAAATTTCACGAACGCACATCACGGCAGAACTCCCGATACCATCCACACCATCTGGATGATTGGAGATCCACCACTGTGCGATTTAGAAGATGTTTTATTCCTCGCACGACTTCCTTGTGGAATTGATCACCATCAGCGATTTTTCCGGACCCATACGACTTAGGGACCTTCAAGAAAAGAGCGTACTCCTTTTTAAAAGGCCGGCAACGCATCTTCAATTCCCTCCCTGGTGTTGCAGTTGTTCATGGGCGGCGGTAGTCACTTACCATCAGGTGAGCCGCATGCTCGTTTGCCCCCTCTCCTATAAAAAAATGGTTACTTCTTGTTAGGGTTCTTCTTCATCATAATTAGCCCGTACAAGTCCTGGACGACCTTTCCGGTTGCAGGAACAATTTGCCTTAATAGTCACGCTTCGTAGGCGGATGACGTCGTCTGACGTCCTTGACGTGTCCATCGCTGCTCCGATTATTTAACTCTGGTGTAAACGAGATGGCTCTACCGCCGTCTATCGAGAGCTATTAGACGTTCTTTCACTTCTCTTAGTCGCCTCTTATAACACCCACAAGACAAAATGGGGTGGTGTTTTCATGCTCCATTACTACCACGCGGTCTTGTTAAGGTTGACAGTTGACAGTAAGATTACTTCTTAAATTTTGTTGATCTCATATCTTAAATATTTATATAACCAATGTATCCATTTAGTCGAGGTCGATCAGCAAGATGTGGACAGGGCTATGCTCGGAGTTACTCTGCGTGGTAGACTTCGAAATGGAGATATCCGCAGTAGAATCAGAGTAACCAACACAGCCCAACGAATCAAGCTGAAGTGACAATAGGCCGGCAATATAGCTCGCGGAACTAATAACCGACGGGGGAGAAAGGTTTTTGAAAGGTCCTTGTATCGGTAAGCAAAGTGTCGAGCAGCCTGCACTAGATGGAATTTGATAAGAAATGCAGAAAGTTGATGGATGCAAGAGTCTCGGGACTGTGCGTTGCATGAGGGAGGCAAATGTCCCGGAGTAAAGTTGCAATAATGATGATGATAATGATGATGATCCAATATCTTATGCTGTTACTAAAATCGAAGATATTAAAAAAATACTTACTCGATCGTTGATTCTTAATAAAGTACAGCTGGAGTCTCTCCTTGAAAGTGTTTTCGTTCACGTAATACTCCACCCGTACTCTGAAACAATATAAAAGAAAAAGTACGGTTAATCAAACGAATTTAACTATAAGGATCAATCGCTGAACTTAATTGAATTTATTTCAAACCACACGTATGAAAAAAAAAAAACAAAGGAAAAGATAGTATAATTAATTGACATTAAATAAAGTAATTCCTATAGAAAAAGGGTTACACAACGAGCACACAGTCTACTTTATAGTAAGTAGATGCTGTCACCCATAGATACCTACATCTATCATCTATCAAGAATCAAGACGCAGATGGGCAAAATCTCTCATGTGGCAAAAGCGGGTCTGCAATTCTGAAGAAAACAGTGAATTCTGAAAACGTAATAATTAGATACTCTTTGGGATGACCGGTCAAGTAGAGAGTGGGGGTTTAGAGTTCTACTCTTACTTTTTTGTATTATTTTTTATTTTCAAATCTCAATCCATGCAATAATTGATTATTAGCTTTGGTAAGAAATACCTATTCTACCTACCTGATTAATTCTTGTACACCGTACACAAGGAGAAAGTTTGCAAGGTCTTATTTTTTGATCAAGTTCGAAACTCAAATGCATATATAACCCAAATTATAACCGATCAAGAACGGGAAATAAAAAAGACGATGCTTTAAGAATATCGCCGCTTCTACATTAATTTGCATTGCAAACTTAGCACAGTACTGGGAGACTCGCTTGGTCAAAAATTAATAACAAGGAACGTGTATTTTAAAATTAATTTCACGGGTTTTGAACCTAATTTGCTTTATTGTAATAATAAAACAAATTAGGTACTAATACACAAAAGTAAATGCCAGATTTCGTCCGTAAACAGTTATTAATTAAACTTTAAAAGCAGTGATAGCAGAAACTAAGTTTAAATTAATACTGAAAATTTATAAAGAGAGATGACAAGGACTTATATTTTAAAGTCTGTGAATATTATAATAATATAAAACAGAAATTTAAACTGTCACATTATAAATTACTTGGACTGGAGTGAATTTTTTTTTGTTATTTAATTACTATAACCATTTCTGAAGTTCTTTTATATTAATTTGAAAATAGTTGTCGCTTTAGGCTAAAATGGCAAAATAACGAAACTGTTAATTAATTATTATAAAATATCCTTAAAAAAAATTGCTTTCAATTTAAAAACCGTTGTCGATTAAGACTATAATGACTGAAAGACAAAATAATTACAGTTTTTGATCGTTAATTAGACCTTTATCGCTTTTTTTACTGTATTAATGAACATTTTAAAATTTAACGTCTTCAATGCGACGTTTGTCGAGACATTTTTGTAAAATAGGGAGACAAGTGAGCACACAGACAAAGACAAAGCCGACCTTTTAGGCTCCCTTTTTGCGTCCAACTCGACTCTTGATGACGGGGGAAAAATACCGCCGACCATCCCGCGGTGTGAGTGCTACATGCCGGATGTGCTATTCTCACAGCGCTCAGTTCGCAAAGCACTTCTCTCCCTGGACATCCAGAAGTCGAGTGGGCCTGACGGAATCCCCCCAATTGTGCTGAGGACGTGTGCTCCGGAGTTGGCACCGGTCCTAACGCGTCCTTTCCGGTACTCCTACTCCCAAGGCGTAGTCCCGAATTCATGGAAGACAGCTTTTGTCCATTATTAACTGCCAGCTCATCCAGTACCTTGAGGATCACCAGCTGATTAGTGACCGCCAATACGGTTTTCGTCGGGGTCGATCAGCTGGTGATCTTCTGGTCTACCTGACCCATAGATGGGCGGAGGCAGTTGAGTCCAAGGGGGAGGCGTTGGCCGTTAGTCTGGACATTGCGAAGGCCTTCGATCGGGTTTGGCACAAAGCGCTTCTTTCGAAGCTCCCTTCCTATGGGCTTCCCGAGAAATTGTGCAATTGGATCACCAGCTTTCTTGCAGATCGGAGCATCAAGGTCGTTGTAGACAGTGCATGTTCTGACTACCAGCCTATTGACGCTGGTGTTCCACAAGGCTGTGTGCTATCACCAACGCTGTTTCTTCTGCATATCAATGATATGTTGCTAACTGGTAGCATTCATTGCTATGCGGATGATAGCACTGGTGATGCTCTATACACCGGCCGGGCCAATATTTCTCGGGAAAACGTGGCCGAGTACCGGAACAAACTTGTGTCTGAAGTCGAGTCTTTGCTGAACAAAGTCTCGGATTGGGGGCGACTAAATCTAGTCCAGTTTAATCCTCAGAAGACACAAATTTGCGCGTTTACCGCTAAAAAGAACCCCTTTGTCGTATCTCCTCAGTTTCAAGGCACTCCCCTTCTTGCCTCAGCCAGTATCGGTATCCTCGGAGTCGACACATCGAGTGACGTGCAGTTTCGTGGTCACTTGGAAGAGAAGGCCAAATTGGCCTCTAAAAAGCTTGGCGTGCTCAGCAGAGCGGGACAGTATTTCATGCCGGCACACCGCCTGCAACTTTACAAGGCGCAGGTTCGGCCTCACATGGAATACTGTTCCCATCTCTGGGCAGGGGCTCCCCAGTGCCAGCTCCTTCCACTTGACCGCATCCAGCGCAGAGCGGCTCGAATCGTCGACGACCGAGCCCTTTCCGATCGGCTCGATTCATTGGCACTGCGAAGAGATGTTGCATCTCTTTGCATTTTCTTTCGCATCTACCATGGGGATTGCTCTGAGGAATTGTTCGGATTAATCCCAGCCGCCAAATTTCATAAACGCACATCGCGGCAGAACTCCCGATACCATCCACATCATCTAGATGATTGGCGCTCCACCACTGTGCGATTTAGAAGATGTTTTCTTCCTCGCACGACTTCCTTGTGGAATCGATTACCATCAGCAATTTTTCCGGACCAATACGACTTAGGGACCTTCAAGAAAAGAGCCTACTCCTTTTTAAAAGGCCGGCAACGCACCTGCAATTCCCCTGGTGTTGCGGTTGTTCATGGGTGGCGGTAGTCACTTACCATCAGGTGAGCCGCATGCTCGTTTGCCCCCTCTCCTATAAAAAAAAAACACAGTCTACCTGATGGTAAGTGGTTGCTGTGGCCTATAGGCATCTACCTCTATACTCGGTTAAGAATCAAAATACAGATACATTATCATCCTTGAAAATTAAGATGGAATGCCACGTTTCCAGTTAAAAGGGTGTCCGGTTTTCTACACCAGCCATACGAAACACAATAGCATAAAGCTGCTATTTCACGCTATTCTGTGAGAGCGTGGTCCTTCCCCGGTCGAGCCGACCCATTCGTGCTAGAACTATAATATAGCTGCAGCGTGCCTCTATCACTTAGAAACTTCTGTTATCAGGATTATTCCTTTTTACTGGTATATCATGAACGGTAGGGTTCATTATTTTATTTCCCCTCATGGATGTTATAGAAGGTTATTGTGGGATATTTCAGAAAACCCAGTAGTATTTCAGATACCTAGCTATATAGATATCTAGGTGTATAGATGCGGAGCAACATCGGAGGTCGAGGCATCCGGTCGAAGCATCGACGCGATTACATATGTAATTTTGCTAAGACATTTACCATCAGTCACGTACTGTAACTGATAAAGAGGGAATCGTTTCATTCTCATTATGTTATTTCATATTTTTATACGTGGTAGAGCCATGCTGCAGCTATATTAATAGTATAGTTGTAGCACGAATGGGTCGGCTCGACCGGGGAAGGACCACGCTCTCACAGAATACCAGCGTAAAATAGCAGATTAATGCTGCTGTGTTTCGTATGGTGAGTGTAGAGAACCGGAGACCATTTTTACTGGAAGAAAAGAAGAAGGGTTATTAATTACGCCTTAATTTACAAGGCTCAGGTTCGGCCACACATGGAATACTGTTCCCATCTCTGGGCTGGGACTCCCCAGTGCCAGCTCCTTCCACTTGACTGCATCCAGCGCAGAGCGGCTCGAATCGTCGACGACCGAGTCCTTTCCGATCGGCTCGACTCATTGGCACTGCGAAGAGATGTTGCATCTCTTTGCATTTTCTTTCGCATTTACCATGGGGAGTGCTCTGAGGAATTGTTCGGATTAATCCCAGCAGCCAAATTTCACGAACGCACATCGCGGCAGAATTCCCTATATCATCCACACCATCTGGATGATTGGCGGTCCACCATTGTGCGATTTAGAAGATGTTTTCTTCCTCGCACAACTTCCTTGTGGAATGTTTACCACCAGCGATTTTTCCGGACCGATACGACTTAGGGACCTTCAAGAAAAGAGCCTACTCCTTTTTAAAAGGCCGGCAACGCATCTGCAATTTCCCTGGTGTTGCGGTTGTTCATGGGCGGCGGTAGTCACCTACCATCAGGTGAGCCGCATGCACGTTTGCCCCCTCCCCTATAAAAAAAAGTATTCTATCTTAGTCCTCACGGCTAACGGCGCATCTGCATTTTAATTCGCAAACGAAGATAGATGTAGATATCTATGGGCCACAGCAACCATTTACCATCAGGTGGACTGTGTGCTCGTTTGTTATACTTATTCAATAAAAAAAAAAAAATCGTTCAACTCGTCTCATCTTTTGTTCTTATAATTTTCATACTTTATGAGAAATTTGACCGTTACAATTAGCAAGTACGATATTCATAGTTTTGCTCCGTATACGAGTTTAAAACATTTGCTCCTTTACAGCCTATTAAAGTCTATTGCTGAAAATAAGCTTCCCGCATATATTGCCTCATAGGGGTATATTTGCCTTAGTTGCCACGCTTGGTATGCGTGTCGGCAACCGCAGTTTTTGAATTTGATTCGTTATTAGAAAGACGCTGCCGCCTATATCCTGATTTGTTTCCCTCTGTCGTCTCTAACAACACCCACTGGATGATATCGGGTAGAGGATATTCTTACACCGCACCGCCACTACACGGTAATAACATTAGGTCATAAGAATTTAATAGATACAGTCACGGACCTAAAATAAAGTTATGTTTTGTTTTTGAATGTTATGACTTATGTTTTTACTAATCGTCACTACAGCATTTTAATCTATTGCTACCCCATTGATTGTCTGATA